TGCCTCAACAATTGCAACCCCAGTTGCAATTGGGGTTGCAATTTCAAATTCTGTGGCATTACTAAAAATAGTAAAGTTTCTGGTGCACTCTAAGATTAAGAGAGAAAACGGAGGACTCAGGCGTCCTGATGTGAGAGAAAACGGGCTCGTGTGACGGGGGACCAAATAAAAAAAGCATAGCTACATGTTTTGTGCACTACAGTATTAAGCGTACCCTTTTCATCACTTTGTAATAAACCTAGCCTTGCCTATGTGTGTTTATGATATTTACCATAACATTATATATATATTTAGTGGGTCTAAATGGTTGTAAAATGGGAAACTTGGGGTTGGGTCTTGGGTGCCTGAACCAATTAGAATAAATCCCATAGGTTCTGTACTTTCGTTATTGGCGGGGTCCCAATTAGGCGCGATAACCAAGGGATGACTGTAATGTACTGTATATACTTGTGACACTGGCCAGTTGCTTCTGGTGTTATGGTACAGGGGTACCAAGTGACAGCACTAGGATCCCTCTTCCTCTATCAAGGAATAAACAATTAAAATTTAAATTGAAAAAAAAAAACATTCAAATAAATTACTATCTTACAAGAATCCCTCCAATGTAAGTTATATTCACCCAGGTCGTTTGGGTGGAAAATTATGAGAAGAGCTTACTCACTCTTAAGTAATGATAAATAAACACGCAGGCAGGCCTTCAGTGCCAACTGTCAAATCATATCTCAAATAAATAAATAAACAAACAAACGCCAGACATTCTGTCACCTCCCGCCCCCTCCCCCCGCCTTTCCACCACCCTCGTGTTCCAAGATAAACGATTGGTGATTTCTTTATGTTTATTTTATATAATATCTCAGACTAAAGTTAGGATAATATAATTTGCATTGCTGAAATCCTTGCAAGACAGAGATTAATTTGAATATAAGGGTCATATATTTTGCTCAAGATATACAAAATGTAGTACATTAGTGCACAATACTGCAGTACATTTTATAAAAAGTTTTTCAACTGTATTTTTGGGTAGATTTACATAAATTTCTTCATTTATTTTCATCCATTTACATGCACACACCATACTAAAAGAATCGTAAAATAAATAAATGACCTTAGTGCAAAGCTGGACTGCACATGTACTAATTTGATTACGGTACTAAAATTGTTATGTCTAGTGCGAATTATAACATGTTTATATTCAAATAAATCAGTATCTCACAAGGATCCCAGCTATGTTAATTATATTCTCCTATGTCATATCACTGGCATTTTAAAATGAAAGAAGCTTTGTAGGACTGTTAAATAAACACACAGAGACCTTTGCCTCAAACTTATCACCTCAACCCCCCACCCCCCTCCCGAACCCCTTGCTGGGTGGCGTGGCTGGTTCCGTCAGTCCCTCCCTCCCTCCCTCCTTCCCTCCCCAGCCAGGCTTTTGGGCTTACAGTTTTTATCTTCTATAATATCTCAGACTAAATTTAGGAGATTATAATTTGCATTGCTGGAATCCTTGCAAGACAGCCAATAATTTGAATATAAACGTCATATATTTTGCTCAAGAGATAAAAAATTTTGTACATTAGTGTACAGTTCTGTAGTACATTTTATAAAAAAGTTTTTCAACTGTATTTTTGGGTAGATTTACATAGATTTGTTCATTTATTTTCATTCATTTACATGCACACACCATACTAAAAGAAACGTAATATAAATAAATGACCTTAGTGCAAAGCTGGAGTGCACATGTACTAATTTGATTTACGGTACTAAAATTGTTTTGTCTAGTGCAAATTATAGCATGTTTATATTCAAATTAATCATTATGTTACAAGAATCCCAGCTATGTTAATTATATTCACCCAGGTCATTTCACTGGCTTTTTATAAGAGATACTTAGTCACCTAAGAACTGATAAATATACATGCGTTAGACCTGGGCCTGTGCCAACTGTCAAACATACTACCTCCCCTCCCCCCATGCCCCCTCCATCCATCCTACCCTATCTCTTCCCCATCTGCTCCGCGTTGCTGGAATCCTTGTAAAACAGTGAATAATTTTAATATATACGTCATGTATTTTGCACAAGAGATAAAAATTAATCACCTGTATCACATTACAGTAGTGATTTAAGAGTAAAAGTGTATATTTACGTATATAGTATTCCACATACACTTAAGTGAAAATAAAAAGTTTATGTGATGATCGGACAACGTCCATTTCAGTTAACATCATGATTCCAAGAACGTATCTAGGATGTTAACCGGCGCATGACTGTGTATATATATATATATATATATATATATATATATATATATATATATATATATATATATATATATATATATATATATATATATATATATATATATATATATATATATAGTCAACCCTCACTTTACGCGGTTAATGTAACCCACAGGGTACCGCAGAAAGTGAGAAATGCGTAAAGTGAATAACATAACATATGGGATTAAATGAAATAGAGACCAGCTGACCCCCAAACTCCACTTTTTCCAACACAATACCTATGTTCTAGTAAAAATAACATCTTAATTTTATGATGGTACATGCACACAATTAATACTTAAGAGAAATAGAGAAATACAGTCGCCAAGTTAATGTCCATTCAAATAATGGACTCAACTCCCTCCCCCTCTTCTCACACTACACTGGCTGGCTCTTCCCTCTCTGAGAAATTTTGGGGGGAAAACCAGGTATAGTAATAAATAATACCTCAAACTAAAGTTAGGATAATATAATTGACATTGCTGGATTCCTTGTAAGACCAGGAACATTTTCAATACAAATGTCATATATTTTGCACAAAAGATAACATATTTACTCAGAGTAAACATTATATCTAAAATTTGTATGTCTAATGCAAAATCTATGATGTTTATATTCAAAATGATCATCAAATTGTAAGAATTCCAGCAATGTAAATTATATTCTGGCCTGGTAATTTGTATGAATTTTATGAGCTAAAACAAATATCTTCAGTTAATAAAAAAAAAATATTCTTCACGACACTATCTGTCAATCAAAGTACCGCCACCTTGCCTCCCACCCTGTTCCAACCGGGCCAGATGGTCGGTCCGTCCCAACCCTCCCCCCCCACCCCCCACCAATCCTCTCTTCAAGAGAAAGGTTGGGTGAAAAAACTAGATTTTAACATTTAGTTTTAAATAATACCTCAGATTAAAGTTAGGATAATATAATTGACATTGCTGGATTCCTTGTAAAACCAGGAATATTTTGAATATAAATGTCATATATTTTGCACAAAAGATAACATATTTACTCAGAGTAAACATTATATCTAAAATTTGTATGTCTAATGCAAAATATATGATGTTTTTATTCAAAATGATCATCAAATTGTAAGAATTCCAGCAATGTAAATTATATTCTGGCCGGGTAATTTGTATGAATTTTATGAGCTAAAACAAATATCTTCAGTTAATAAAAAAAAATTATTCTTCACACCCTGGTGCCAGGTGGTCGGTCTCCGGTCCCTCCCTCCCTCCCACCCCCCACCATCCCTGCCTACCAGATGAATGTGTGGGAATACCAGACTGTTTACCTTTTTAGTAATAAATTATAAAACAGATTAAAGTTAGGATAATATAATTGACATTGCTGGATTCCTTGTAAGACCATGAATATTTTGAATATAAATGTCATATATTTTGCACAAAAGATAACACATTTACTCAGAGTAAACATTATATCTAAAATTTGTATGTCTAATGCAAAATCTATGATGTTTATATTCAAAATGATCATCAAATTGTAAGAATTCCAGCAATGTAAATTATATTCTGGCCGGATAATTTGTATGAATTTTATGAGCTGAATAAAAAAATTATACTTCACCCATGTAAAGGGGTACACCCACCGTGGAATGTGAGCATCCTGGGTTCTGGCAGGGCTCCGTGTAAACGTCGAAACGCGGAATTTGGGACTGCGTAAAGTGAGGGTTGACTGTATATATATCAATGTTACCTAGGTATGCTAATTTCTAGCTAACTCGTCAGGCGAACATACAGGCAATTAAAACCTCTAATAATTACTTAATAAGTAATATTAGGAGGACACTTCGCTACCTGGCATTTAATTGATTTAATTGCAATTCTCAAAACCCCCTCCTTCACCCCCCACCATACGCATCACGACCTTCATCTTCTTGCCTGGCGATTCAGCTGTAAATACACACAAGGGAAAGCTTCGCGAATTTGTGTTGTAATTGCTGAAATACTAAGCTCCACGAGAATTTTATATACGGCATTTGTATTTATTTGCACAGTGATGAAGTAGAGTGACTTTTATTTTGTTATGTCTCTCAATTATTGTATTTGGGACAATTTCTTATACGATCTCTGGTCAACATCATGGCGACCACAACACATCTTCTTTGTGAAGTCGTTTAGATCGTTGTGATTATTCCTTGCCTTTAAGTCATTCAGTGAATGTCGCTGTGCCCTCCCGGGCTCGTCTTCACTGAAAGAGAATATGTGAATATATCTATTTATATATACATACAGTCAGTTCTGCTATAACGCGATAGTTGTGTTCTTGTAAAACCTCGCGTTGTAGAAATTTGCGCAATAGAAATAACAGGGCTTATGGAGAAAATAGGGTTAGGTGCAGATTACTCGAAATCGAAAAAAATTTAGTAGTTAGCCTAATACAAAGGATAGCACAGTCTAAATAAATGTTACATTCATATCTAATAATGAAATCATACATTAAATGTTACACTTTACCTTGAAGAAATATGAATATAACTTGATGGCGGAGAAGGTTGATGTTGAGGTTGAGGAGTCATGCAGAAAGGAGTTGAGAATTGTCATCGTCATCATCAATATCATTGTCATCATCAGGTGCAGTTTTGGTTACATGGGAGGGACGAAAAAACATCTAATTCCAGAAGTGGATGGCTGTGGTTCAGTGTCTTCAGACTGCTTCTTGGGGGTTAACTTAAAAAAGACGTCTAATGTTTGCTGCTATGCCGTCTTTCTTCTTTCGCAAAGAAGCTGTTCATAAGGTGCCAAAAAAGATTTATCACCACGAACTGCAATCCTGCTCCTTTCTTCATTGTAGTCATTGCCTTCCAAGATCTGCAACTGCTTATCAACTTCCCTCAGGATAGAAGACAAAACAGAAGTGGGAAGCTCTCGTGATTTTGCATCCTTGACTTCATCATCTTCGGCATCTTCTATTTCCCCAGCAGCAAAAAGTTGTTGTAGATCAGCTGTAAAGAGGTCTTCACAGTGGAACTCGAGCAGTTCCTCAACATCAGCACTTTCCACTTCAGCAAAGCCAACTTGCTTTGCAAGAGAAACACAATTTTCTTTAATTTTTGGGAGCTCCTCTGATGCATCAAAGCCTGTAAAATCATGAATTAAATCTGGGAGAAGCTTCTGCCAAACTCCACTCAAGCAGTCCTTACTTACATCACCCCAGGCCTCCACAATGATGTCATTTGCATGCTTGATGTTGAAACTTTTCCAAAACTGAAGAACACTGGCCTTATCATTTCCTTCCTCAGTAGCTGCAATAAGTTTCTTAAACGTACGCCTCAAATAATAGGCTTTGAAGGCTGCTATTACTCCTTGGTCAATTGGTTGAAGGAGAGATGTTGTATTTGGAGGTAGAAAGAGCACTTTGATATTGTCAGAAAGCTCAGCAATGGTGGGAGGGTGGCTTGGCGCATTATCTAAAATGAGGAGAATCTTAAAATCCATATTCTTCTTCTTGCAATAATTTTTAGAAACATTTTCAAAAACATCCATAAGAAGGTCAGAAAAAATTTGTCCGGTCATCCAACCTTTTTTGCTTGACCTAAAGTGAACACCTAGAGTAGACTTTATGTAACCCTTTAAAGCTCGCGGGTTGACAGAGTGATACACCAGCACAGGCTTAAGCTTTAAGTCTCCACTAGCATTTGCACCGAACAACACTGTCACGCAGTCCTTCGCAGCCTTAAAGCCTGGAGCATGTGCTTCATTCTTGGAAATGTAAGTTCTTGTTGGCATGCGCTTCCAGTATAAACCTGTTTCATCCAAATTTAAAATTTGGTCTAAGATGTAGCCTTTTTCCTAAATCAATTTCTTTACAGTGGGAGGAAATGCCCGCGTATTTGCTTCGTCGGCACTTGCTTCTTCACCACATAACTTTACATTACGAAACGCATAGCGGTTCTTAAAACCAGAAAACTATCCACTACTAGCACTAAAGGCAATCACATCAGCAGGATTTTCAGCTTTTTTCTTTGGGTCCTCATATATTGATAAGGCTTTCTCTTTAATGGTGAGGAAGCTGGTCCCGGATCGCTTTTTCGTTTGATCTTCTATCCAAACACTTAGAAGCCATTCCATCTCCTCAAGTTCCTTTGGCCGTGATCTCACACTTTTGCTAACACTCAAGGTTTTTCCAGCAATACAGCTTGCTTTAATCTTTCCTGCATTGTCTCTAATGGTGCGTAAAGTAGACTCCCTTATTCCCGTTACACGCACAATATCACATGTTCTTTCCTTATTTTCAAAACGCTTGACAACATCAAGCTTTTCTTCAAGTGTTATAGCCTTTCTTTTACGATCACCACCGGAAATGCAATCACCAGAACGCTTCCCGGAGATATTCTTCTTTTCCATATTCACAAAATTGGAGAAACAGTAGGCAAAAATCACTGAGGATGCTTCAAAACTTCCCACGCGTTTCAAACTGATCGTGTGTGATGTAAACAGAGAGCGTGGGTGTAAAACACTACGTGTTTTGTTTTTCTCTTTTATTTAAAATTTTACAATTTACATATACTGTACAGGTATACTGTATACATAAATATTACATAAATTATTTCTGCAATTCTTCACAAACAAAACACATAAATCAACTGAACATGTGATGTCGAACGTGAACTGTAAACACTGCATAACCCCACGCCAAGCGACAATACTGTATACTGTACAGTGGTCCCTCGGTTAACGAGCTCCTCGGTTAACGAGATTTCGGTTAACGAGTTACCTTCCATAAGATTCTTAACTTCGGTTAACGAGCAATCCCTCGAATAACAAGTTTCTTACGAGCCGACCTCCACATGTTTCAGCTTGCATTTGGCGGTCCACCAGCTGTAGTATTAGTCCGCCAATACAGTAATCGGTTCTAGGGCTTAAATTCCTTACCCTTTTAGTAAATATCAAGAAGTTTATACTATTCAATAATTTAAAAGTTTAATATTAAATTTTTTAGTCATTTTAGCAATTATTGAACATAATTGAAGGTAGGGTCACTAGTTTGTGGCACGCCATCCAGCCTGCCAACACAGCATACAGGCGTCAGTCTTTGTGTCTTTTCAGTGGAGGTAACATCTTGCTTGAGACTCTCTTCAACAAAGCGCTTTTTTCTGTGTTTACAAGCAAATTATTGGTCATTTTGAAATTTATTTCACATATTGACAATATATAATGCAGTGCAGTGTTGATTTAAAGAAAATAATCTTGAATTACACCAAGAGAACTAAAACTTTATAGGTGAAATGGCACCATGGGGTGACTTCTCTTCCACCCCAATGCCTTCTCTTCTCCCTTCTCCTCCACCCCCATTCTAATTCCCATCATCATCATCCAGGAGCCTTCTACATACACACCTCAAAGTAAGTGTACTTTTCCACCTTTTTTGTTGAATTTAGGCATTTTCGGTGAGCTGGAACCAATTACCCAAAAACCCATTGAAACAATGGTTTCGGTTAACGAGCAACCTTCTAGAACGGATTGTGCTCGTTAACCGAGGGACCACTGTACACTTAAACCGTTCGAGTGGAATCGCGTTACAGCCAACATGCGTTCGCGTTTTACAAATATTGTTCTTCTATTCATCAATCGCGTTACAGCCAATTCGCGTTGACAAAACACGCATTATAGCAGAACTGACTGTATATGTATACTGTTTACGGTTTTCTTCGTTTCAATTATTCACGTGCTAGTATGAATACCATGACTGTCTCTCTTCCTACTCTTATGTTCGTTCACAAAAAACCTTTGGGCTTCCGCCCTCGGTTTTCTAATTGCTCTCAGCATAAGAGCTGGAGACGCAGTGCTCGAGAGGGAAGTCTCCCTCTGGGGAGGAGCTGTCGGCTCCCTCCCTATTACAATAATAATCCGAATGCAACTGTTGCTGAGAGGGAGCTGTAGGGCCTTTATATTGGCTTGAGCGGAAGATGTCGTCACTAATCTGGGTGTGTCTGGTCAGGTGACAGGTGTACTCGCTGGAGGGTAGCTTCTTGAGTAACATGGTCATGTCGCGGGGTTAAGGTAATCGAGTGGCGGTGAGAACTCTGGGACAATGAGACTGACCTCTCTTGGGTCAGGTCGGGACAACTTGTCCAGGTGTAGTTTCTTGACTAACACGGACATAACGCCTGGTTAACTCGGGTACCTTGTCCGTGACCTCTCCTGGGTCAGGTCTTACTGTCACTGTAGGGTGTGTCAACCTATGTGGGTTACCACGTGGCATCTACTTACTGTTACAAGTATATGTGTTGTATTTCTCTGGGCGGTAAGCTGTAGTCTGATGAACAATCATTACACTTGACTTGTCCTACTGTCAGGGATCTTCTGCCACAGGACAATTCACTAACCACTATATGTCACCACCTACTTATTCGTAATAACTAAGATTTAGTTCTTGTACGCTACCCACACTTTGGAGGGTGCTAACTCCCATTGTCGTCTCCATTTCACAAGTCATAGCGTGTCCTGCGAGACATGAGTACCAATGTAAGTAATATCTCTGTTAGCCGGAGTCCCTCGAACCCGGAATTCTCCAATAGCTGGAATTGAAATTTTCTAGGAAAATTTTTACCAAAGCTGGAATTTTCCGGAAAATTCCGGCTTTGGGAACAATATTCCAAGGGGTACATTTTCCAGAAAAATCTGAGAAAATTTTCCCGGTACAGTAGAACGTTGATATAACACGAGATACGTTCCAAGAGAGGTCGCTTTAAACCGAATTCACACTAAATCGAAGTGTTGTTTCAATGGAATAATTAAGTTTGGTACTTGAGAGAAACACAAAATACTAAAAAGACTGAAAGTCTATCCAGATGCACCTCAGCCCATCTCCTAGAATAAACAAAACATTGTTTTTTGTGGTATTATGTTAAAACAAACACTCATAAATCAACACAGCTAAAATTATGGGACATGAAATGGTCTGTTTACTAGGGATCAGGTAATGTGAAGATTGGGGAGGGGAGGAGGTGAGTTGATATGTTTGACAGTTGATGCCAAGGTCTAGTCCTTATTTATTTATCTCTCCTTAAGAGTGACTTTAAGTTTTTCTCTTATAAAATATCACTGAACTGACATGTTCTAATTAATTTTATTAAAAAGGGCAAAATTTTTTATCTCTTGCAAAATATGTGATGTTTATATTCAAATTATTCGCTGTCTTGCAAGGATTCTAGCAATGCAAATTATATTCAAGGATTCTAGCAATGCAAATTATATTCTCCTAACTTTACTCTGTGATATTATATAAGATAAAAATTTTAAGCCTATAAACACCAAACCCTGGCTGGGAAGATGGGGGGGAGGGAGAAAGGGAAGGTGACAGTGACAAGTTTGACAGTTGGGGCCGAAGGTCTAGTGAAGTATTTATTTGTTTATTTATGTCCTTTAGATTGAGTTTAGGTTTTTTGGTTATAAAATGTCACACAAGTGACCAGGGAGAATATAATTTACATTGCTGAAATTCTTATAAGATAGTGATTAATTTGAATATAAACATGCTATAGTTTGCACTAGACAAAAATCTTAGTTATCATTTAGTACATTATTTTGAGTACATGTACAGTACAACTTTGCCCTTAGGACAGTGTAGCATGCCCAGAGAAACATTAGGCGCGAATTTTAAAATATGATGCGCCAGATTGACTCGCATAAAATAGGAAAGATTTGCTTTAAATTTAAACATTGCCCTTAATTGTGGGTGTCGCTTTAAATCAATAATCTTAAATTGAATCGCTTTAAATTGACGTTCTACTGTACCCGGAAAATTCTGGAAAATCCCGGGGATGGGAGAGTTTTTCAGGGTTTGAGAGATGAAAATCAGGCTCATTTTCTGTAAATTACGAGAAAATTTTTCCGTTACCCGGTAAATTACAGAGATTCGGGATATTTTTCCAGGTTTGAGAGATGATGTAATGGGTAATTTCTGGAACTTACTAGAATATTTTTCCGTTACCCGGAAAATTCCCGGATGAGGGATTTTTTTCCGGCTTTGAGAGAGTTGTCTCTTTACCAGGAAATCTCTCATTCCCGGAAGTGCTCTGCATCAATTGTTCCGGCTAACAGAGATATCACTGTATTACTGTCTGACCGCATGGTCTTATGACTAGGCTTGTCACCCCGTGGGGTGTCATAAATTAATCACATAATAAATTATAAGCCCAGCATGACTAAACAGATGCTCACAAGCAGCAGATGCTGGTAGTAGGGGGTTAAGCTTCAAAGATAAGTCACACAATGTCGGGAAAGACCTCAGTAGCTCCAGTCCATCCCCTGGCGTGCCAACTAGCTAGCAAGCTCCTTCAGTTGAGGAGTTTGTGGATGATTGTTGCCTCCATAGTGGCTGAGTTTGACTAAGACTCCACGTTGACTGTCACTCTAATTGGGGTGTGGCTGTGGTGACGTTAGTCTTAGATTCTAATTGATGAATGGCTGAATTTTTCGCACCACGTAGCATCTGGTGGGTGCTGGGGGGGGGGCAGTGGTACTTAGTTATTTAAGCAGAATTTTAAATACACACAGTCTCACACATAGATACTACATTGCTGTACATAATTCCATTGTAGATTGAATTATGTAAAGCATTTTAGAATCACAGTGTCTTTGAAATTCATTTTATGTACAGGTACACTCGGAAACCATAATCTCTAGCCCACCTGGGTCAGTACTGGAGGTTAGAACAGTGTCCTTTCTGGACGGGGGCCCACTCAAACTATCACGAGGCAACACACGCACGAACACACACAGTC